TTAGAGGACTGGAAATGAATTGGATTGAATTACAATTAAGGTTTGAGAAGTAATCAGAGTAAATTAAAAGGAAGGAATGAATGAATGAATGAATGAAGCCAAATCAAGATAAATGAGGATTTAAAAAAAATTAGACTAGAATTATTTAAAAAAAATTAGACTAGGATAGAATTTATTTTTCTATATAATTTGAAATCAGTTGAAAATCATCCTTAGTACTCTCCAATATATTTTTACAGAGGAATTTTAAATGACTGATTTTTGTTAAAGTGGAATTATACATTTAGACTGAGAACTATTTTAAAAAAGTTATTATCAGTTTAACATTCTTAGTTGTTAGTAACAACTAACAACTAAGAGTAAATTGAAATGAGTTAAAGAGATTAAACCTAATAAAAAATGAGTTGAACTAAAGCTAAAGGAAATTTTTTAAAGTAAACTAAATTTTCCAATATTTTGGCTTGCATAAAATACAGATTTTTTTTCAAATAAATTTTTCAATATTTTGGCTTGCATAAAATACAGATTTTTTTTCAAATAAATTTTTCAATATTTTGGCTTGCATAAACTACAGATTTTTTTTTAAATAAATTTTTCAATATTTTGGCTTGCACAAACTACAGATTTTTTTTTAAATATGTTTTGTAAGTATAGAAATGTTAATTTGACAAAATATAAGCAGCTTTTAGAGTATAAGATATATGAAACACTTGGACTTTTGATCGGTTACCAAAAAAAGCAACTAGTTTGTTAATGTTGGTCACCCGCTGACATTTTGAGTTGCCCGTTGCTATTTTTTATAAAAATTTTTGCGCTCAGTGGAGTTATTGCATATTCTAGTCATTTTTCCTTATAGGACTAAGTGTAGACTAGAAATAATTTGCATAAACAAAGTAATATTGTAAACTATTGATAACATTTACAAAAAAAAATTAAAAATTAAAATAGATTCATTCAAAATAAAAAATATATAGATTTTGCAAACGGGCCCATAAATTTGTAAATTTGGGATGTGTGGGGTAGCCTAGTCACAGTTCCATATACACCATTAGCTTCTTCACTTGAATTGAGTACTTATTTTACAAAAAAAATAGGTAAAACTTGCTGAACACAAATCCTTTTTGTGCGTAAAATGCAAGCTGCTTATTAACGAGAACTGTCGAAGTATTCTTTTTTTGACTAATTTAGTTTTTGATAAATATGTAAAAAAAAAATACTTAATTTCTAAATCCTTAAATAAAAATTGTAAAAAAATAATATAAATTAAGTTTTAGTTTAAACGATAAATCTTTTTAGCTTTCATTTAGGAAAATATATTTAAATTTAAACATTTAAAGCTCTAACTAATAATAGAAAAAGAGAACAACAAACTTTGACTTTCAAAATAAACGTTTTTTTTTATTATTTTACGATAGTTACTTTTATTTTTATAGAACTGTTGAACTGAAAATAAATTAACAAACTAGAACTGTGGATAAAAAATCAATAACCGCCCTTTTGGGCAACTTTATTGCATCAAAGGAATATTTTTAGTTTCCCTTCACAAAGTTTGGTTGCCTGGTACCATTGGGCGACCATTAGTGTACACCTTTGAAGAAGTAAAATATTTTGCTAAATAAAATATAAGCAGGTATCAGAGTATAAGATAGATATTTTGCTGACAAAATATAAGCAGGTTTCAGAGTATAAGATATATGAAGTTAGATATTTTGTTAATGTAAAATTAAAAAAAAAAATTAACTTTAAAAAGTTTATCTGGATAAAAATACGATAAAACTGTTGAAAAACGAAACAACATGATTATGGAATAATTAATGAGAACTTAACTATAATAAATGAATTTTAAGCTTCATATTGTGAAAGCGTAGGATTTATAAAAATAATTTTGTATGAAAAAACATGACATAGTAACTTTTTAACATATTAACATAACTTCTTACTGAAACCCATGACTAACACAAAACTACACCTCTACAATAATTTAAGTCTCTTCCTGTGTATTAAGCATGCGAGAGTACCATATGAACATTATATTCTAGGAAAGGATAAGAAAAGAAGAAAAAGAAAAGATAAAGAAAAATAATAAACATAAAAATTTTTTTTTATGTTAATTATTCTAAATTCTATAGCTTATTCTAAATTATACTTAATATACAGTACAAACTATATAATATGCAACTAAATATTACTTTTTATTTTTTAGAAATCAAGAGTTAATGTTATGCAGTCAATTACTAGTCAAGAGTAAATATTATATAGTCAAGTAAGTATTACGTACGCATTCATTATATTTCCCATATCTAAATCAGGAGATATTGGAATGTTGGTAGGATGTTGCGATGAAAAAGTATTTTGCTGTGTAGTTGAAGTTGTTGATGCAGTTTGAGCAGCAGGTGGAATTGGAGCTGAAGATGGAGCTCCTCCCATTGATGGAACTGCAGCTCCTCCCATTAGATTAGCAAACCTAAAAATAAAAATAGAATCATAAAAAAACCATGAATCTAGAATCAATTGAATTCTTTTTGTTTCAAAGCCTTAGGCAGAACTCAATTTATGTTATTTATTTATTATTTATATTAAATATATAACTCTTAAAAGGTAACTGTTATTAATTTTTTTTAAACATTTTTAATTTTTAAAATACTTACATGTTTTGCATTTGGGGATTTTGCATAAAACTTTGAGCCTAAAAATATTTGTATAAAATCATAAATAACTTAAATAACTGGTTAAACGAAACATTAAAAAACAAGTTTTAACCTTTTTAAAACAAATACATATAAATTTATTTAAAAATACTTTTTTCTTTTAACTTTTTAATTCAAGTATTATTATTATATAGAACACATTTTAAGTGGTTGAGCAGGCATTTTCAAAAAAAGTTGTTTTAAGGGCCACCCTAATATATATATATATATATATATATATATATATATGTATATATATATATATATATGTATATCTTATACTGCTGAATTAGGTGAGCATGATGATGTCATACTCACCTAACGTCAAATAGCCTGCTGCCGGGGCTTCAGTACATACATCGACTGACAAATAGCCTGACTCGCAGTGGAGTGCTGCTACATCGACTGAGGGTTTGGTATGAGTCAGCAACCTTTTCATTCATTATTCTTCGTTTTCCCTCATCGTTTTCTAAAAACGCTCACTTAATTTAGGCTAGCAAAAAAAGTGAGCAATTGCACATATAAATATGCTATAGTAGATCGCACTTGATAATTGACCACGGAAATAATATTTAGTTGCGAAAAACCGGCCAGATTTTTTAGTCGTTTTGAGAACATTTCAAAAACAAACAAAAAAGCGCAATAAGATTAACTGGACCGATGAGAGACAGTTAGAAAAAGAAACGCAAAAAAACTTTAAGCAAAATAAATACAATTAGAGCAAATACTTTTGAAATGTCGCTCTTTTATAATTTTTTTTTATAACATTAAGCGACATTTTTTATATAAAGTAACAACTTACTATTAATGATTGTTTAATAAGGAAACAAATGTTCTTCAATTTATCAAAGAGTATATATAATTTTTATTTAAATGCTAATGTCTTATTTCCAGTGCTGGATTGAGGAGGGGCTAAAGCCCCGGGACTCACAATGTTAGGGGCCGCGAAATAGTCAAGATGACTATTTGGTATTTTTTTTAATCAATTTTACGCTGTGGTACATAAAAAAGCCCACCAAAATAATGCAAACCCCGGCCCTGAAAAGTCCAACAAGATTCAACCAATAAAAATAACGCTAGATAATTTATTTATAAAGTAAAAGTTTTTTCAATTACTATTTTATGCTTCGCTAGTTTGAAAAGTTTATTTGAAAGAACTCTTCTTTCAAGATGGACAAATGTAATAATTAAATCATTGAGTTACTGTAGAAATTTAATTAGCTAGATAGAAATTAACTAAAAACGTTAAATTACTTTGTGAGGAGGAAGCGGAACTGCTTCACAATACCGCTGATGATGTTTAGTGAGTGGGCTTTATAATTTAATTAGTATTTAAAACAGAAAAAAGTAACTTTAAGTTTAAGTATAACGAGTTTGTAAGAATGGCTGAAGCAAAAATAATTGAAGTTAGTAAACCAATTCCTAAGAATTTAAAAACTTTTTTTTCTTGGGGGAAAGAATCAGTTATCGGGTACACTGAGGAAAATGGATTAGTGGTTAAAATTATTTGTATTAAAATTATTTGTATTAAAAAAATTGTTTGTTTGATAGTATATTCTTAAAACAATTTAAGCTAGAAATATCAACAAAAACATAACAAAGCTCGAATAATACAACTTTTTAAAATATTTCAACAGAATACTCTAGAAATTTCGGTTAGTATTTTTTGAACCAATAGAATTAGTTGTTTATAGACTTGGCGGGATTATTGTGTTCGCAAATATTTTTTTTCATTTTTCCGCACAGAGCATCGTGTTTATGTATGTTTCCATGTATGTCCGTAAAACAAAATTTACATTAAAATATTAATTATTTTGCGGACAAGCAAGGAAACATACATAAACTTAAATGTTCTCAAAACAACTAAAAAATCTGACCAGTTTTTCGCAACTAAATATTATTTCCATGGTTAGTTATCGAGTGCGATCGCACCCACTTCCCGACCAAGCCTGATATATATACATATATATATAAACATATATATACATACATATATGTATATAAACATATATATACACATATATATATATATATTTATATACATATATATATATACATATATATATATATATAAACATATATATACATACATATATGTATATAAACATATATATACACATATATATATATATATTTATATACATATATATACATATATATATATATATATATATATATATATATATATATATATATATATATATTTATATATATACAAATATATATAGAGTTGCCAGATGTTTGGCTTTTATGAAGTAAAATACAGTGCCAAACCAGTAACAAATTTTTTACAGTGTTTTTTTTTTGTTTTTTTGTTTAAACATCTTCGCTTCCAACAAGGCTGCAAGCAACCACTAATTAGTGATGGAAGTTACTGGAAGAGAAGAGATGAAGATTGTAGAGCAAGATAACGATTGACAGACGACTTAAAAGATTGAAAATTATATGAATCAGGGAAACAAGATGAAGGAAGCGAATTTCAAAGAACTGATATTCGAAGAAAAAAACTGGAGGAATAAGAGTTTTTGGAGCAATTAGGAACAGTCGCAGAAAAAGGATGAGACTTAATTGAATGATGAGTAACACGAGAATGAATTTTAGTAGATGGCACAAGAGACGCTAGCTCTTTAGAGCAGTGCCCATTATAGTATTTGTAGAAAAGAGAAAGAGAAGCAACATTACAATGATGTGATAATGGTTGAAGGTTGGCTAAAGAGCAGGTCCAACTATGTTTACAATGCGTTTTTGCACCTTGTCTAAAAGAGAAAGAGCATCATTAGAAGATCCGTCCCAGATATGGCAACAGTATTCCATACAAGGCCAGATTTGAGATTTATAGAAATAGAGAATAGAATCCAAAGTAAAAAAGTGTCGAGTTCGATAAAGAGATTCAACTTTCGCAGATGCTAATTTTGCAACGGATTTGGTATATGGTTTCCAAGAAAGATCAGAAGTAAGAGTTAATTCTAAAAGATGAAGGGTAGATGACTCAAGGAGTACATTACCATTCATAAATATAGGAAGGTCTAAATTATTGCGATAACGATTGGCTGAAAAAAATTGAGTTTTATCTGAATTAAAGTTCACCAGCCACTGTGACCCATGCTGTAGCAGAAATAAGATCCTTTTCAAGCTCAAATGCCCCCTGCAAGCAACCAGAGAGAGTTTGCTTCTTATCATGACAGGAATAAATGGTAGTATCATCAGGGAACAATGCCACCTTATATATGAAAATATCTGTAAGCCCATTAATGTTAATTAAAGAGTATAGGGCCAAGGATTGAACCTTGAGGAACCCCTGAGGTTACAGAACAAGAAGAAGAGTGCTGTCCATCAAGGAAAACTTTTATACTACAATTGGAAAGGAAGGATTAAATAATTTTAAGGATGTTTCCAGATAAACCGTAAGAAGAAAGTTTATTGAGAAGACCAGCATCCCAAACTTTATCAAACGCTTTAGAAATGTCAAGAGCGATGCCTTAACCTCTCCACTTTTATCTAATGCACAATAAAACCTATCAGTTATTACTGTTAGCAAATCAGCCGTACAACGAGAAGATCAAAATCCATATTGATGATCAGAAAGTAAGTTGTTAGATTCAGAAGAATATTATATTAAAAACTTTTTTTAAGAATATTAGATTCAAAAACCTTGCTTATGATAGGAAGAAGATTAACGAGATGGTAGTTAGACAAATCAGATCAATCTCCAGAATTTTTAAAAATAGGGATAACAGATGCTGCTTTCCAGCAGGCTGGAAAACAAGACTCTGATAAGCACTTGTTGAATAGTTTTGAAAGGATAGACGACAGCTCTGGAGAACACTTCTATAGAAGTGTTAATCTTCTATAAGACTATAACAGGTATGTTGTACGGGCCACAAGCTGTAAAAGAGTCTAAGCAGGAAATCACTTAGATACAGAAGCTGGAGTGATACGAGTGTCAAGCAATTGATCAACTTGTTTGACTGCTATATATCAGGTAGAACCCAACTAGTGGAATCAAGAGATAATGTTAATAAAAAAAAATTCTTAGCAAATAACTCAGCTTTGTTTTTAGGTGATGTGACAAAGTCTGAACCATACAAAAGAGGTGAAATTACAGACTTGCCCTTATTATTGATACTATTAAAGATTTTCCAGAAGTCACGAAAACCTAATTTTTGTGATTAAATACGAGATTTTATTACCTAAAAATAGTGGGTTTTGACGTTAGAGAAAACCTTTTTACAATGGTTTCTAGCAGTAATAAACAGACGTTTGTTTTCTGGAGAATTGTTTTGCTGATAGATATGGAAGTAACGGTTTCGATTGGCAATTGCAGCAGCACAATGTGAGGAAAACCATTAAAAAGAGTGAGGCTTGATCTGGAATCGTCGAGAGGGAATAAAAGATTCTATGCCAGCCTGAATCCACAAAAATATGTAAAAAAGCACATTTGTCAACAGGAAGACGAAAGATTTCTACCCAGGGGTAGAACCCATAGTTGCAGATAACAAATTTAATATCTGCAACTTTAATCATGTAAGCTAACACTGTATTGCATTTTTGAATATAATTTTTGTTGTTATTATGGTTGTTTGTAACCTCTGATGATCGCATAAAGCGTGAAACTCTGAGTTATGTCACAAATTTAGTTGTACCATATATATATATATATATATATATATATATATATATATATATATATATATATATATATATATATATATATATATATATATATATATATATATATATATATATATATATATATATATATATATATATATATATATATATATATATATAATTAAAATAATTTTAGAATTTAAAAAATTTTCAAAAAAAAATTTTTTTTAATGGTAGCTCAAGACTGACGGGTCCCAAATTTAAAAAAAAAAAAAGTTCTTCAAATGTGTATTCAAATGTGTATTTTATAAAATAATTATTTTAAATTTCACTAACAAATTACATTTTTAACTAAATTTAAAATATGCATTTAAGTACATTTTGCTATGAATTTTTTTTTTTAATGATTTTATTATAAAATCATGATTATTTTTAAAATTTTTATATAGTTTCGCTTCTTTTGAGACCCAACATGATATACTTTTGAAGAACATTTTTTTTTTTGTTGAGGGTACAACATAAAAAAAAGTTTAATTAAAAACTTTTTCTTTTTAAGTTCTTTTTAAAAAATACAATAAATTCTGTACAAAAAATAATTGGATAGATACTATAGAATATTTATGTATAATCCATACCATATTCATGACTGCAGGATTGCTCAATAAAGCACCAAGATCCAATCCAGCTAATGGGTTTGCAGGATTTGCTAAACATATAAATACATAAAAGTAGAGTTGAGCCAATTTAATTGTCAATAAAATAATTACCATCTTTTTTCATCAATCATTTTCTCATCATTTACATTTGTTAAATGAATGCAAAGTTTATCATCAAATAATGCAACTTTTTTTTTTTAAGTCTTTTAATTTTATAAGGTTACGACTTTAAAATGTCAAAAAATGTCTTAATGAAATTTTAATTTTATCAATAAATTTAGATTTAATTCAATAATACACATAAAAATTTTTTTTAAATATTACAACAAGTGTTTTAATATTTTAAAAATTTTTTAAAAAATCTTTTCCCCACAACAACATTGATGTTATATAAAATCCATAATATTGCAGTAAAAAGCAAAAAGAATTTTAGTAACAGTTCTAATACTTATGAAAGTTCTAAATTATAACCATAATCCATCATTTGCTAAATAATAAAATGCAACACATCCTTTGCTACATAATAATATGCAACACATCCTTTGCTACATAATAATATGCTACAGAGTATATATGTATATATATCAAGATATTATATTATCACTATAAGGTCAAACTAATCTGAGGGCCTTTTTCTCAACCTGAGACAAGTAAATGCTTTTGATTATACATTACTTTTAGGTTTAATTCCAATTAATCAAGAGAATTATGATAACTTTGCTGTCTTATCAAAAGTATTGCAGGCCTGGTCGGGAAGCGGGAGCGATTGCTTTTGAATACTGGCCACAGAAATTATACTTAGTTGCGAAAAACTGGCCAGGTTTTTTAGTCATGAGAACATTGCTCTCAGTCGTTGAGAACATTTAAGTTTTATGTATGAAACAAAAAATTTTTGTTTTACGGACATACATGGAAACAAAAAACTTGAATGTTCTCAAAACATCTTGGTGCCCAAGAATAAAAAGAAGACACTAAAAACCCACCAAATTAACGAATAAACTAATTCTATTGGTTCAAAAAATATGCTGACTAAGCGAAATGAAGTTCTAGAGTATTCTGTTGAAATGTTTTAAAATTTGTATTATTTACGATTTGTTACGTTTTCAGATTTCTAGCATAAATTGTTTTAAGAATATATTATTAATATTATGACTCATTTTCGGAGCCACATCTGCAAAGCTGTATTTCTTATAAACTATTATTATTTGTTTTTAAAAATAAATGTTATAAATATATATTATTTAAATTGTCAAAATTTTAAAAGTTTATTAGAAATTATAGATTTTATTAGTATATTCTTATTTTTTTATTTAAAAAGAATATATTTTTTATGTAAATGTAATTTGGTGTATCTGTTTTTTATTGTAATGTAATCTTTTAAAGCAATTTTTATGATTTAATTTGTAAAGAAAGACTTACAAAAATAATTGCGTTTTCAATGAAGTTATTAATAATCGTTAAAGTTAATAAAACTAATTATGTAACAAACATGTAAGAAGTTTCTGGTTACTAAACATAAACAATGCATACAAAGTAACTCACAAATGAACAAGCACCGCGCCTGAGGTAACAACAGAACACAAATATGTTGTTAGATATAAAAAAAGTTTTTAGATATTAGTTTACTAAATCTAATTATTTTCGCTTAAGTTGCCATTCTTAAAAACTTGTTATACTTTTTTCTACTTTAAATACTAATTAAAATTAAAAAGCCCACTCACTAAACATCATCAGCAATATTGTGAAGCAGTTTTTTTTTCCCTTGCTCGTCATAAAGTATTTTTAACCTTTTTAATTGATTTCTATCTAGTTAATTTAATTTCTATAGTAATTCAATGATTTAATTATTTCATTTGTTTGTCTTACTAAGAAGAATTGTTTAAAATATGTTAAACTTTTCAAACTACGTGAAACATAAAATAAGTATTAAAAAAATTAACTTTTTTATTTATAAAATAATTTAGCTTAGATAAAACTAAAACTTGCAAACTTTGATAAATAAAAAACATTTATTTCCTTTTAAACAATCGTAAGATGTTACTTTATATAAAAAACGTTGCTTAATTTTATAAAAAAATTATAAAAGAGCGATGTTTTGAAAATATTTGTTCTTAACATAATTTATTTTGCTTTAAGTTTTTTCGCGTTAAAAGATATTTTATTTTCCTAATTTTTTTTGTAATTGTCTCTCATCGGTCCAATTAATCTTTTTTGCGCATTTTTTTTTTTGCTTTTTGAAATGTTCTCAAAACGACTAAAAAATCTGGCCAGCTTTTCGCAACTAAATATTATTTCTGTGATCAGCAATCGAGAGCAATTGCTCCTGCTTCCCAACCAAGCCTGGTATTGACTTAGAAGGATTTTATACTTTGTGCAGACTCCAAACTACTTAACTTGATTTTAGGAATTCAAAAAGAATTCTCTTGTCAGACATACTCATGGTGAAGGTTTATACTAGAAAAGAATTAAACTTTTTGTTTATGTTATGTTTTTGAATTGTTTACTAATTGAGGTAGTTTAAACTCGAGTAAATTGTACTACAAAATACATTGTACTGTATACTTGAGCCTAAATGTTAAACAAATCAGTTTTAAGTTAAAAAAGAAATCACAAAAAAAAAATATACATACGTGTAGGTGGTTGTGTTGACTTGGCCCCACTAAGACTTCTTTCTGATTGTTCTAAGTTGTTTTTATACGATTGGTTAGAAGGTTCTATTGAAAGAGCCTACAAATATGTATCATAAATATATTTAATATTATCAAAATTGTTATTGTTACTTGTTTTCATTACATAAAGGGCATAAAATCTAATGATATTATACATCAGAGGTGTACAGTTGTGATGGCCCGACAGTACCAGGTGACCGAATTTTGTGAAGGGCAATTAAAAATATTTGTTTTATGCAATAAAGTCGCCTGAAAGGGCAACTGTTTATTTTTATCTGCAGTTATGTTTTTTTTTTTTTTTTTTTTAAAATTCAAGAATTCTATAAAAGAAGTAAATATCAAAAATAATAAAACAATATTTTGAAAGTCTCAGTGGCAAAGTTTGTTTTCCACATTTTCTAGTATTAATTAGAACATAGAACAAAGAAATTTGTACGAGCATTTAAATGTATTTAAAAAAATACTTCCTAAATAAAACTTTTATCGTTTAAACAAAATATTATTTTATTTTTATTTATTCAAGTGTAAAAATTAACGGCATATATATCAGCATGTGCATTATCTGAAAGTAGAAAAGTGAATGTTATCAATAGTAAATAATATTACTTTTATTTGTAAATAAAAGTAATATTATTGCTTGAATTGAGGCGGGATGCCATCCCTTCACCTTTTTATAAAGTGTAAACCATCCTGCCACCTTTTATAAATCTCTCTATATAACAATGATTAGGCAGGATGGTGATTTTAATTTAACAAATACCATCCCGTTACTTTTTTTTCTCCATTTCGAGTACTGTTTACGCAGCGGGCAACCAACATTAACAAACTGGTTACTTTCAGTTGCCCATCTGTTGACCGACCAAAAGTCAGAGAGTACACCCCTGTACGTATATATGCAAATATCTACATATATAAATGTTTTTAAGTTTAATGCACATGGTTCCATACTTGTGAATTTGGACAGGATTTCATAACGCCAATTTTTTATTTAAATAAGACATAGCAAAGGTGAAACTATTTTTACAACTCGATAGTCTTCCTTTAGTGTTAATCAGTCTTGCAGGTCAGGTTTATAAGCACCTTCTAATGTTAACCAGAATTAAATTAGGAGTTTCATATGAAAATGCTCTTAACTAAGTAGTATACTATTGATGCATAAATTATTATTAAAAATAATTACTACAATTTACATTGAAAAAAAAAACATTAAAAAAACAACAACTTTTTTTTAAGAGTAAAAATATTTACCTTTTTATAATTAGCAACAGCTTTATCAAACTGTTTTTCAGTCATATATACCAGACTAAATTAATAATACTAAATTTAAGACATGTGATATAAAATATTAAAACTTGTAAAAGATGACGGCATGTTAAAAACAAACTATTAGATGTAGAGGAGTTTAAAAACATACTAAAAGACATGTTAGGAAACCCATTTAATGGTTGATAAAAAAATATTTAAAAAATTCAATAAAAACACAGCAAATGATTTATAAAAAATAAATAAATAAACAAACATTTTTTTTGCTTGTAAACTAACAAAAGAAATATATTCCTGTTTATCTTTATTTTAAAATAATACAAAAATTAAATAGAAATATAAAAGTTATCTAATATATGTAATTATGTAATCATAAATTGAATATATATAAATTAAAATTAAATTGTGATAAACTTTTAGTTCTGTTATGAAATCTGTGAAAATGGTGAAATTTTTCAAGTATATATTATAGATAAATATTTTTTTAAATACTATATTTCTTGCTTTTTAGTATTTACTATATTTAGTATTTATTGTAGATGCTGAACCTTTGATTTATTTTGATTCTCTCCTAGAGAATAAAAATTAGAATGTTGTAAGTAATGTAAGAAGAATAGATAATCCTGGTCATATTTAAAATATCCAGAAAAATTTTTCCTAATAATATCCGGAAAAATAGTTTGAAGACATTTCCATAAAAATCCAAAAATAAAAATGCTTTTTGTGTATTTAAGAATATCTCATGTGCTTGAAAAGAAAATTTTTGGCAGGTATTTTTCTATAAAAAAAAATCTTATTAAGTATTTTAATTCTTACTTAAAAAGAGTTTATAAATTAAACTAGATTTTTAGGTGAAATAGTCAAAATAATTAAAGTGGTTTCCAAGTGCTGAGTGTTTATATATCTTAAGGAATCTTTAAAAAATAAGTTTCATATTATTTAAACGTTCCAAAAAAAAGTATTAATCAACACATTAGCAAAAAACTTTTTAATAAATAGTTTTTAACGCTATTTCTTTTTCTCTAAGGTAAGTTACGAATCTTTGATATTTTTTAAAATAAATACTGGTGTGATAAATGCTTTTGTAGTTAATAAATGATGTCAAACAAAAAAGCTCTTTCAAATTTCTTTAACTCAAATTATAAGACCGAGTGAATAAAAAAAAGTAATTGCTTTTACTCACCATTTTTGGAATTGTTCAGTTTTACAAATAAAAATTTGAACAAAACCGCTCAAATTTTTATTCACGTATAGTTTAGCAATTTACTCCAAAAATGCTGAGTAATTGGTCAGCTTTACGTAAATAAAAATTTGAGAAAAACTGCTAAAGTTTTTATTCACGTAAAGCTGACCAACTACTAAGCAAAAGCAATTGCTTTTTTTTATTCACCACGTCTATAAACGTTATGTTTGAGTTTTCCCTTTTGCAATTAATTTTTATGTCTATCAACTCTTTTATATTTAACCATTTATAAAACATATAACAACAGAATAAAAACAACAATAAGTAAACACTTTAAAAGTTTAACTTAAATTTGATTTATTTTAAAAATAAAATTAATATTAGAGCTATAGATCTAAGATAAGTAAATTTAAAAATTATGATACAAGTTTTACTGATAAATTCTTAAAACCAAAATAAAATTTTTTATTTTTTATTTGGATTTAGCATAGATGAGTATTTGACTTTATGAAAATCCCGGAAATTTTTTTTCTATGATAATCCCGGAAAATCCTGGAAAATTATTTTATTAAAAATTTATCGCATTTAACTGACAAACGGAATTTAGATTATTTAACTTTTTACAAAAAGGAATTTCTAATATTCGAAAAAGTTTGAATGAATTAAAAAGCAAAAAAAAAAAAAAGAAAAAAAATTGTTACGAAAATTGATCTTGTGAAAATTTTAATTATAGAAAACATATTTGTTTAAATGCAAAAGTTGTCGTATGTAAAATTTTATGTAAAAGTATATTAATTTTTTTTCAAATTAATATCAAAAAACATCCAGAAATTTCTGGAAAAATTAAAGGTGTTTTAAGTGAATTTCTGGAATTCCAGGAATTTCCGGAAAAACTCATCTATGATTTAGTAAGAAAGTAGTGCAAACAAATTTGATTTCACTTTAATGGAAATAAAAATGAAACAAAGTAAAAAAGTGGTATTCTTTGTTTAATTACAATTTTTATTTTGTCTAAAGTCTCCTGTTGAATTAAAATGAAAACATTTTTTCAAGGGGAAACTCTGTGAAATTGTTTGAAAATTGTTTAAAAAACTCTACATTAAGTACACTTGCAATTGCTTTTACTCAGTGTTTTTCGAGTAACTGCTCAACTTTACATAAATAAAATTTTTAGGGATTTTGCTAAAATTTTTATTCATGAAATGCTGAACAATGAATTCCCAAGTGAAATGCTGAACAATAAGGGATTCCCAAGTGCCGAGATAAGCTCTAATTTGTCTTGGTACTTGGGAATCCCTATAATAATAAATATACAAATAAGAAAAAATTATTTGTACAAATAATGCATCACATAAGTAAAAAAATTCCAGAATTCCGGAAATATCGGGAAAAAGATAATATGAAGAAGAAAAAGATAATATGAAGAAAAAGATAAATATGAAGAAAAAGATAATATAAAGAAGATATATGTAGATCTAATACTAAATATTTTTTAAAACCAATTAACTATTAACAAAATTGAAAGCAACCACTAAGTTAGTTAACAAATAAAAGAAAGTTATGAATAAAAAAGAAAGTGGTTGACAAAAGACTGTAAATTGTATGAGTCAGAAAAACATGAGGACAGGAGAGAATTCCAAAGCATCAACGTTTGAAGAACAAAAGGATAGAAATAAAAGTTTTTGGAGCCACAGTAGATGGATGCATATTGCGACAATAGCTCACTTAAGCAAACTATTGTAATATTTGTAGAAAAGAGACTGAGATACAACCTTAAAATATTAGGATAGAGTCTTGGCAGCCAGAGCAGTTCCAACAAGATTTACAATGCATTTTTTGACCTTGTCTAAAAAAGTAAGGGTCTCATTAGAAGAGCCAGTCCAAACATAACAACAATATTTCATATGAGATCAAAAAGAAAGTTTATCGATATAGAGAATGAAATCAAGAATAAGAAAATGAAAAGCATGATAAAAAAAGATCACATTCAAAGTCATTAAAGGTTGGCTGCCAATACTAAACAGTACAAACATGGCGATTTTTTGTTCAGACTGAAGTATATAGTTGTGTGTTGAACAAAATGACATAATAGGTACCATTATGAAGATTTTGAGGTACTATTATGAAGAAGATTATGCAGAGGTACCATTATAAAGAAGATTATGAAGAGGTACCATTATAAAGAAGATTATGAAGAGGTACCATTATGAAAAAGATTATGAAGAGGTACCAATATAAATAAGATTATGCAGAGGTACCATTATGAAGATTATGAAAAGGTACCATTACAAAGAAGATTATGAAGAGGTAGTATTATGAAGAAGATTATGAAGAGGTACTTTCATGAAGAAGATTATGAAAAGGTGCCATTATGAAGAAGATTATCAAGAGGTACCATTATGAAGAAGATTATAGTTGAGAGAGTAATAAAAAGAAAACGCTGAAGAAGTAAGACTTGAAAAATGTTGTTGCATCACAAGCTGTAAAGGAGTTAAAGAGAAATAACTTGAGCTACTGAAACAAGAGCAATTTGTGTGGGTGTGATCATTAAATTCAAGAGATGAATTGGAGAAAAAAATTTTTGCAAGTCTCTACATTCTAGTCTAAAAACCATCATAAAAATTACAGAAAGAATCACAGTCATCCTCAAGGTAATGATCCAGTAAATTTGATGTAAAAGAGTTTTAGTGAGATCATAGCATGGTCATCAAAGCTGCCAGAAAACAAGGAGAAACTAAGCAAAAGCATAGTTAGAGACCAGATACAAATCAAGGAGTGAAGATTATCTTTCTGAAAAACAAGTCACAATATGATAAAAGAAGAAGTACAAGATAACAGTTTTAGTGAGATCATAGTAGGATCATTGGAACCACTTAAAGGTAAACAAGAAACTGAGCAAAAGCTATCAAGGAGTGAAAATTAGAGTTTTCTGGAAAACGAGTCACAAAATCTAAATAAGAGATTGAGGAAGAAAAAATTTTGAGCTTTAAAGTCACCAGGGTAAAATTTACCAGAGCAAGTCTGGTCTGGTGAATTTACCAGAGCAAGTAGGTCTGCTGAATTTACCAGAGCAAGTAGGTCTGCTGAATTTAGAAAAAGATAAGACTTGTCAGATGAAAAGCCACTTCTAAGGTTACAAGTGCTTGAAAAAACAGATTAAAACAATTTTGAAGTAATAAAAGTTTTTTATGATGGGCATTTAGTATTTTTTGGTACTTTTTTTCTATTAATAGAAAAAAATCGACTCAGTCATGATAACGATCATAACAATGATCATTATCATGATTAATAACCATGGCAACTAATGCAGGCGTGATTTCAAGTTTACTTATAAAACCAGCCAGATATACTCACTACTTTAAGTTTTTTTACGATTAGAAACTTTTTTGAATGTTCTTTAACTTAAATTTTTGGTTAAAAACTTAACCAAAAATAAATAGTTCCACATAAATGGCGCATAAGCATTAGTTTCCACATAAGTGGTAGAGTTAGGTGGTTAAAAGTTTTAACATTAGTTTAACAATTACTTCTTTATTTCATTTATTTTTATTCTTTTTTTTTTTATTAAAAAAAACAAACTGTACTTTGTCATTAAACAATATACTTCAACATTTAAATCAGAAAAAAAATATTTTAATCTTAAAAAGACAATTTTTAAAGCTATGAGCTTAAAAAAAAATTATTATTGCGGTTTTTCCTGTAATAAAAATATTTTAAAATTTTAAACTATTTTTTGTGGTTTGGTCTAGTTTATAGACTAAAGAAACTACAAAATAGTAACTTAAAAAATAGTAACTTATTATTTGGCTAAACAAAATAGTATTCTGCTAAACAAAAGCTAGAAAGTGAATGTGATGAAAGAAAAAAAAAACTGCTATCTTTTATTTAACCTGAATCACTGAGTAAAAAATTATTTTTATTTCTTACCCTAATCTGCCATATGCTTTGCTGTATGTTGGATCAATGTTTATTGCATGCTCACAGTCTAAAATCGCTCTCTGGTTGTTATTTAGTTTTGTCCATGCAGCTGCCCTAAATTAAATAATAAATTAAACGATTTTTAAAATTTAAACTAGGATATGAAAATACAACAATAACAACATAACCAACTCAAAATCTTATTAAACACAAAAAGTGCTAAAAGACATAAATTCCAAACCCATCAACTACTAGTAGTTTACTACTAAGAAAACAATTTTGTGTAACCACATTGATTACTAAAGGCTAACTGCTAAAGATCATGCATTGCATCTCAGTCAACCACAAGAAGCTTTAACTTTAACAAACAAAACTATTTTAAAAAAACAATAATAATACATAAAAAAGCCTACCTATTACAATAATACACAGCATTTTTTGAATCTAACTCAATAGCTTTTGTGTAAGAATCAATTGCTTCATCATATTGCTCTGTTTTCATAAAGTCATTGCCTAGAATAAAAATTACCTTATAAAATAAATGGATACAAACAACTTTTATCGTTCTACCCTTATTTTCCTTTATATTAAATTTCCTTTATAAATAACATTCCTTTATATATAAAGTTCTTTTACATATAAATTTCTTTACATATAAAACATTTTATTTGTAAAGGAATATATTTATATATTTTATATGTAATATTATAGAATATATTTTAGTAACAAAATATCTGATTTATCATTTGTTATCAAAGAAACTAGTGTGGCATAATGTAGCATTCTGTATGAAAAGCAATCACAATTTAAAAGCCATTTGGTATTAAACCTAGTTCTGCAATTTTTTCACAATTTTAGATTTAGTTTCCAAAGCCATCCTCTATTGGTAGGTTTGATCAAAGGACTTTGGAGATAAAGAATGATGTTTGTTGTTGTTTTTTTACACTTTTCAAGTTCTATTACAAACTCCATGCCGTGTGTTAATGCATTTAAATTAGGGGTGCACGGATGACTACGCTTGGTAGATATCAATTGGTACAGGCCAATGGAGATGCATCAGCACTAAATTCGAATTTGCACTATTTTTGTTTTTACCAATAGGTAAATTAGGATTTTTTTCAAATATAGTCAATTTTAATACTTGTTTATCTGCTAAAAATTGCTTAATGTTTAGTTATTTTGCTCATTGTTGATTGATTTATGTGTGTGTGTGTGTGTGTTTATATATATATATATATATATATATATATATATATATATATATATATATATATATATATATATATATATATATATATATATATATATATATATATATATATATATACATATATATATATCAAGGGTGTTAGCCAGGAAAAAATTTCATACAGCGTTTTTGCGAAATGGGGAACTTAGGTGCGGCTAAAAAAAAAAAAAAATTTGAAATGAATAATTTTTATTAATTTTTTAGAACACTTTAAAAATATGTATTCAATAACGTTTGTAGACATCTAAACTAGCTTATTTTGTAAAAAAGTCAAAATTGATTTTTTTTTACCTTTAGGTGTTTTGAAAAACAGCTGCAGTATAGTAGGGAGAAAACAAGAACTAAAGACAATTGTTTGCAGTTTTAATGGATGAATTATTAAATTTCATTAAAACTTTGATCTATTTTAATTGCATACATCGTATTTAAATACAGTTTTAAAAGATTTAAACGATTAGTTCTGAAGAAATATATTTGAATATATAAGTTCGAGTATTTAAATATTTTAGTATTTAAAAATTTTTTTTTTAAATTTTTAAACTTTTTTACAATATTCGTATTATTGTTCATCATACATTACATTTACATTTCTTGGTTTAAACTTGTCTTTTTGTATAGTTTAGATCCATAAGTCATATAATTACTTTCCTAAATAATAAAGACACTAAACGCAGGGAGCTCCTAATAAAACAGTTCAAAAAAAATTTAAAGGTTTAGTGGTTGCAGATATGTCTATATAATAACTTATGGTTATACATGCATTTTGGTTTATGGAATAATTATATTTTTGCATAAAATATAGTAACACAAAAATAAAAAATTTGATTTTTTAAAACAATTGGCATCAGCTGATGATTAACAAGACGGATGATAATGCATCGGCTAAATGGTAGATGCATTGGTGCACCCCTAACTTAAATTGAGCAAACAAAAATTGTTTATTTTGCAAGAGCGTCATTTAAAAAAAAAAAGCAAACAAGAAAAAGTTTACATTAATTATGTCAGTCTAGTATGGATGCTTTTTTTTATATTGAGAGTGGTTAAAGCTTTTACCAACTGAAGATAATAACATAACCAATAGCATCCAAATAATGTTTTTAATACCCCAAGCTTGAACACAGACAGAATTGCTGGTGCATGAGATCTTATATTATAAAAGCTTGGCTTTATTATTGAAATGGTCATCATCATCATTATGCCACTGGTAACATGTAATCTAGTGCAACATGTTTGGTTGCCTTGTAGGAATTACTTTCTAAGCAAAGACTAGAAGAAGTGTACTGCCAAAAGTGATATATTTTTTTTAAATATAGTTGAAGGTGTCTTAGCTATTGTTTTGGCTCACCAGTAATTTACTATATATGTATGTTTGAGTTTTGTATTTACCTCTGGTATGGTGTTCACTGACCCGTAAGTTGCTATTTAAATATTTGTGTTTTATCTGAAACTCTGAGGCAATGTTCATTCACCCTAAGTCACTATATGTATGTTTGTGTTCTATTTGAATTTCTGGGGCAGTTTTTGCTCAGCTGTAAGATACTATATTTATGTTTGTGTTCTGCTTAAATCTCTGATACAGTATGAGCTCAGTTATCAACTAGTTCCAACTTTAAAACTTACCCTCACTTTAATTTCTAGTATTCTGTTAAATGTAATGTTTTTCCTAATACATTTCCAAAATATTTTCAATATTTTCATTTTCAATTTTCTTCCCTAAGGCCATGAAGGCCACTACAGTCAAGGAGGCTGTTTTAGTTGTGGTTACAACCTTCTCTCAACACTATAACTCCGAAACCTTGAAAAACAAGATTGCTGTGTGGAGAAACAAGTTGAACACAATACTACCTACCGGTACTACCGACACGGTACTACCTACACGGTACTACCGACATGGTGGGGATCAAACTCACTTATGAGGCAATCACTCTAACACTACACCACTAACGCAAATAACTCAACTACTAATGGTCTGGTTAGGTTCAGGATAATCATGGTCACCCTGCTACTGATATTACTGTAACCCAGTACAACCTGCCACATGACCTGTTGCCTTGTAGGGTTTGCTTTTTTTAAGCAAAGGCTTTGATAAATTAACCCCAACTTATAATTCCCCTGCCTTGGGGCTTTTAGTTGACTAAAGGCTTGAGATGGTGTCTCGATAAAAATACTCATTATGGGCAGATATTAACTGCACTTAGATATTGTCTAGTAGAAGAACTCCTAGGCCAATACTTTAGGGGTAAGCAGAACAATTCTATTGACTAGCCGCAAACCTCTTCTTTTATTAGGCTTTCCTGCCTATAATGACAAGGACGACGATTTTTTTGCTGGACTTCTTGACTCATAGATTTTTGCTTGTGCCTCCATCCTAGTGGCTATTCAACTCTTCCTCTTGTCTTCTAATGAGAGTACAACTCTAAAACTCATTTCAATGTTTCTGAGGACAGTGGGTAGTAAAGTTCCCCAAACTTTGTTGTAGCTCTCAAAGAGGCTGATTGATGATGAACACTTGAAATGAAAGTGTTCATCATCAATCTTGAAGTAAAATATGAGTATTAACAGTGAAATGTTGCACATGGATGATGCCCCTGTTTATGCTTTTGGTGTGCAATGTTGAGGCCACATAAGGAGCCCTAAATTACAAAATTTAAGTTAATAAACAGAACTGAGACAACTGCAATTCTTTTTAAACTTAAACCATGTCCAAAGTAACCAAAAATACTAAACATAAAAAACCATTCCTACCACTGTTTTAAACTCTTTTACAAATATTTGTGGTCTTTAAAGTAACTTTCCATCAGATGAATCTTCCCTCTTGCAAAATTGCTTGTGAGAATAATTTAAATTTGGTTGTTTCTTCTTCAGATCTCAGTATTGATGGGTACTATTTTTTGATTTGAAAAAACTTCTATAGTCACAAACTTGGCTTCAGCTTATACTTTTGCATCATACCAGATTTGTTGAGAAACCTTTAAATTTAATATTTAATACTTAATAATAGATTTAAAATCTTTCTCTTTACCCCTCTGCCAATATTGTGACTTTAATGCTCATAACACTGAATGGCTGTAACATCACTGACTTAGCTGGCCGTAAAGCCTATAACTTCAGTAATCTGGGCACTAAAGTCTGTAATCTCAACCTCTTACTCAGATTTTTGTCTCATTTTCCAGACAACTCACTTGCTTATTTATCACTTAATTATTTCAATTCACCTCCCTAAGGTCATGAAGGCCACTACAGTTGAGGAGGCTACTTTTAGTTGTGGTTACAACCCTCTCTTAACTCTATAACTCCGAAACACAAACCTTGACAAACAAGGTTGTTGCGCAGAGAAACAAGTTAAACGTGGCCAGAGACATTGTGGGGATAGGTAGTAATGTAATGATAGGTGAGCGCTCTACCATTACACCACTAATGCATAACAACTTGTATTATATTTCTTCATTATCTCCTTTAGGTGGCTTCAATCATGCAATGATTTCAATAAATCTTTTATCTTGTTTTTTTTTTTCAGGCTCACCTTATCATCGCACTACTTACTACTACCCTAAAGCTGACTGGGATTCTTTTCATGATTTTTTCATGACTTATATTTTTTATCTCTCTGCTAATAAATGCACCTCCAACATAACCTCGTTAATGCAGGCAGACATGGAAGTTTTTGTTCTTTTTTACTATTTCAAAGTCAAGCCTTATTCTAAGCCATAGTTTTAACCTTCTTGTGCAGCAGCTATATCTAATTGTAACTATTTTTCATCTTTTTCAAAAAAAGAACTCTCTTCAGAGCAAACACCTATTAAAAAAAAAGTATGGACATACGGACGCATGCCTTGTTCTTACATGTTTAAAGTAATTTTTTTAGACAACTTGACCAAAATAAAATTAAATAAGAAACAATAGAAAATAAAACAGCAATACTTGAGAAAAAAAAAAGAAAGGAAACAAATACTATACGAAATATAAAATATAAAATAAACTAAAAAAAAATTAAAATTAAAAAAAGAAAAATCTTGCCAAAAAAATAATATTCCTAAATATTTTACTGTTTTTGTTTTCTTTTATTTTAGGGTATTTGCTATTTTCCACTACCCAAATTGATACAAGTCGAAGAAAAAAGCAATATACAATATAAAAAGAAAGAATATACAATATAACTAGAAATACAAACAATTTTAAAATTTGTTTTAATACTAATGTTCAAATATAATATTATAAAATATTTGGTTATTTTCACTATTCTTCAAATTTTGTTGGATTCTCT